GCTCCCGTTTGCCCAGCGGCAAGGGGCTCCTCTGGTGGTCCAGGGCACTGGAGAGGTCCCCTGCGTCCCCCTTGAGGGACCCCCCGCGGCTGATGCGCTCCTCCTCACACTTCTCCAGGCCCAGGCCCAGGGCCAGCCCCTCCAGGGGCCGGGATCTCCGGTAGAGGCTGGGGTGGGCGTTGAGCGGGTTGAGGGGGCTCAGTGGGTTGAGGGGGTTGAGCGGGTTCATGGGCGGGGCCTCCTCCTTGTTGAGGGCCTCCTGGCTGGACATCTGCATGTGCCGCCTCAGCTGGCTGGTGCGCTGCTCCCACACCGACATGTGGTGGCGGCGCCTCCGCTCCCGCCTGGCAAAGGGGAAAGGGGGAAGGCCGCGGTCAGACCCCGACGGCTGCCGGCCAAAGAGGGCAGCCCTCAGCGGCCATGGGGAAAGGGCAGGACACACGGTGCGAGGGGCACACGGGAGAGCCCAGGACCTGCAGACGGGAAGCACAGAGAGACGCAAGGAGCAGAGGGGGCCACGCAGCCACGGGTCGTTGGGCCACAGCCTCCCAGCTCATGGGCTTCCCACTTGGTTTCCCTGCTCTGCAGCAGCTGGGGGAGCGGGTGGGGTGGGGTCAGCCCAGGACCCAGTTCCCTGTCCCGGGGGCCTGCAGGGCCGAAGTACAAAGGCGACTAGGTCTGCACTCCCTGCTCCAATTAGCTTTCAGGGCAACAACCTTCTCCTACTCTGTGCCCGCCACTGGCCCCTAGTTCCAGGCCAGAGACCCCCTTCCACCTGCTCCCCTCTCCTCTCCCTCTCAGATAAGCCTGGGGTTGCCAGGGCAGAGCAGTGCAAAGGTCAGAGTCCACTGAAGGGTGACCACGGGGACGAGCAGACCTATATTACATAATGTCTTGGCGTCACCCTCACCAAAGCAGAGTGTTGGGGTCTCTTCCAAACCTCGGAGGACTGTGTGTGCAAAGACCACCAGCAGCTTACCCTCAGAATGGCCGGGGAGCATTTCGGCTCCGGGCCGAGAGGAGCATTCGAGTGGCAGTGAGAACGCACCAACATGACACACAGGCGAGCACACAGGGCCCACACGGCGGAAGGGTAGCCACCTACGCCTTCCCCACACGTGCCTGTGCGTGCACAGCTACACACTGTTAAGGGGACGCTCGCAGGTGCCCACACACGCCCTCACCGAGGCCCCTGTGTGGCTGCACACAACTGCCTATGTGAAAGGCACAGCCACGCCGGCACAGGCCCGCTCACGGGCCACACACAGAGCGAACAACGCGCAGGGGCACAGACCTTAGACACACAGAGACAAGCACGTGTCGAAAGGGGCAGCGGGGCATGTCCACAAACCATGTGCATGGAACACACACGCACACACCACTGACGTGCACACCCAGCGCCACTTTGTCCACGGCAAGGACAAGGACACGGTGTCCCCGCACCCGCACATGACCACTCACAAACACGCAAACCGGCCCACACATACAGGTGGCTGCTGCGTGGCTCCCACATCGACATGTGGTGTCTTCTCCTTCTGTCTCTTCTGGGGAAGAAAAACGGACAGGTTCAGTTCACCCCGACCTCTAGAGCCACCACACACCCCACAGCCACCAGCGGGTTTCCGGGGAGAAGGATGGTCCCCAGTGCGCCCACACGCTCGCCGCACGCCCGCTGCCCTCTGCACACGCCCAACACGCACTCTCCGAGGGAGTGACTTGATTCCTTGCTCCGTGCAAACACGTGATCTAGGTTTTGAAGTGTACGAACGGACGCCAAAGATCCGTTTCCATTTCATGGAGCAGACTGCTTCAGATGCTCAACCGTCATGCCCACTGGCACTCACACCACAACGTAAGGATCCTTCAGAGACCTGTTACGGAGACAGATCTCTGGATGAAGAGCTGTACTCCCCCCGTCATTTCTAGGTGAGCCCAGCACAGTCACATGGGTGTGAGTCCCCACTCATCACTCCAATCCCTCAAAACGTGCGGTGAGCAAGAGCTCTGCCACGCACACCATCGAGGCCACAGAAATAGCCCATGGCCAAAGGCAGGCCCACCCCTCCATGGCCGCCATCCACATCCTCAAGGATGCAAGTGGTGACCCTGCATTTGTGCAACGCAGTGCCCTGGCCAGAGGCCTTGAAGGTTTGGTCTGTTTAGCTGGGTAAAGCCCAGTATTAACCTTCTTGGCCTTGCACAGGGAAAACTCTCTTACACACACACACACACACACACACACACACACACACACACTTGCTGTGCCCTTTCAATCAGGCAATGGAAGGTCAGAGAGGCAGGGTGTGGGCACCCCGCTCCAGGGCAGACAGGACTCCTGGGAAAATGAGACTGCCAGCTCCGCTCAGTGCTCGGTGGAGTCAAGCGCATCTGGGACTCCTGTGGAGAGAGCCCGGCAGACGGGCCCATTCTGGCCCAACGGACCCTGCCTGGACCTGGAGGTTGGCAAATGCTGCTCCTTTCCTGATAAAAATGACACCCACACATGGAGAACATGCTGGACAAACTAGCTCCGCCCCACAGCCACTCCTGTGTCTGCTGAAGAGGCCGGTCCTCCGTGGGGCTGGGGAGCGGGCAGCTGGGCTGAGTGTCCCCCGGTGCCTGGCGGAGGAGTGACGCACATGCGCACCCACGGGATGGACACAGGCATCACTGTGCCGGCACCGGCGCACTCCCCGACTGAATGCACCCCTCGGCTTCGCCAGCTGCGATACGAGGAGGCACAAGTGGGGCGGCGGTGCCGGGAGGCATGGGTGGCAGATAGAAACAAGGGCCCACACTTGACACAGGCCTCATGCAAACCCACCACGGAAAGCACATTCTAGCATCTAACTGCACATTCTCACATATTCAAATACTGGAGGCAGAGGCACGTGTAAGAGTGTAAGTGCACGAAGAATCCCCTCTCTTGCGTACGCATGCCTGAACACACTCAAGTGCACGCGCACACATGCACGCACCAGGCAGAAGAGAAACCCAATTGCTGAATCCCACACAAATCAGACACACACTTCAAAGCCCTCTTTACTTCTCACACATGAAAAGATCCACTTCCTGCCCCATCAGAATCATTAATGTACCTTCATTCCCCAAATCATACCGAGAAGCATCCACGTATCTCCAACCCATGCTTCTGTGACCTCACACGCAGCCCACAATGATCCCGTGGACCAGGAAGGCCAGTGAGCGTTCCTCCTCTTCCAGAAATGGGAAACAGGACCAGAGATCCTGAAGGATCTCACCACGGTCACAGAACATAGGAGTGGCAGGACTACAGCCAGCACCCAGACCATTTG